CACACGCACAAACACACATCTTATTGCTCGCTTGTGCACACAAAGCAAGTATAAGACAACAGCTGCATGTGATGATTTCGTTTTTAATAGAGCGTAAGCACGCAAAGCAAATGAGAAGCATTAAATATGAAAAGAGTAAATTCTGAAATTGCAAACAATATATTGTACGCGTGTACGCGTACATTTGTGTGTGTGTGTGTGTGTGTTATTGTATTTTTGCAATTTCAGCAACTATGTGAACCATAGAATAACCAACAATCAACTTGTCATCAAAAACTTCAATTAAATTCGGACCAGTTCGGTTAAAGTATAAACATAACAGAACGCATCACAAACACTGATTTTCTTGCAATGCAATAAGAATAGCTTTACTGTATTACTGTATATATATGTAGGAAGTACAAATCGTATGTATGCATATATCGATGTATATATATATATATACATTATATACTTATACATATATATATATATATATATATATATATATGCGTTTATTGTGTGAGTAGATTGTTGATATCCCTGGTGTATAATTACATATTGTTAATTTTATTGCTGTAATTCTGCACAAATCATACACACATACACACATATGTATACGTGGTCACACACACACTTCATGTAACGCATCGACAATAACGCATACATCAGGCTCTTGTTTACTCTGCTTATATGTGATATCAAATAAACAGAACGAAACATACTGCATATCACTGCAAAATGAACATCATAATATTTTACTCATGCAACAAATCCACTTACCTCATCCATATCACCTGACGGTCCGCCATTATTTACTATAGCTATTGATGTTCCTGCTGCTGTTGCTGTTGCTCCTCCTCCTCCTCCTCCTCCTCCTCCTGTTCCTCCCCCTCCTCCTCCTATCGCACTTCCACTATTACTGACACTACCACCTATACCACCACCAGCCATCGCCGCACCGGTAGCAGCATTATCTCCTATGGCATGGTAAATAATTTCATAGCCGTTTAATCCTAAATGCTCACGGCTTTGCCATGATACAATCACTGAATATGGTTGTATATCCTGTATGGCAATTTTCGGTATTAATGGTGCATCACAAAATTGCTGTGGTTCCATTTTGGCAAATATCTTGCCACGCAATTCCGCCGGATGTTCGCACCTTAGATAATTAATGTTATCGTTTGCCGTCGTTATTAGCGCTGACGATGATGATGACGACATTGATGACATTGTTGTTGACATGGCGGTCGACGTTAAACCCATTGCCAGTGATGATGACCATTTGCGATGATCACGTAACCATTCCCATAGCTTTTGAGCATCACAACTGCAATGCAGTGGATTTTCTATAGTAAAAAAAAAAAAAAAAAAAACAAAAAGAAACCGGAAAAAACACATGTGTAAAAAATAATATGTCCTTATATATGCATAGGAAAGATGAAAAATAATCTTCTTTGGTCTTTCAGTTTTACGATGTTTTGCTATATTTAGTGCAAAGCAAAATTATAGATTTTTTTAATCTTAATGCTAAGTAAACTATGAGTTGTATAGAGTTGACCGGCACCAGATAGAAACTATTTAGCGGATAAATAGGTTAACGGGTAGCTCAGAGTTGGGTAATGAGTAAATACTCAAATAGTTATCGAGAATTGTCTCAAAATTTTTCCTTGGCATTTTACGTAATTAGTATCGGATGATGCTAGTATCGGCAATACTAAGTTCGAATGGTCACTTTTCCTTGCCAAATTCTCATATTTAACGGAACACACGGAACGGAATTTCGACTGTATCAATCCGGAGAATTATTGACTGGCGTCAATTAGCATTAAATTAACTGCAGTAACTATCGTGCGTAAAAAATCACCGCCGAAATATACCTAAGCTATTTTATTTGGGGCCTGACATGAATTAAGTATCGCGACAGGCCCGCAATAGGTAAATATACTTCACTTTAAATCAGTTGCTAGCTAAAATTAACATTGGGATTATCCTCATCAATGCAACTTTTAATAGACTATGGAACGTTATATACTTACCTTCCAATCTCAAAGTTTTAATATTGGTTTCTAAAGGTTGCAAGGCTTCTATCGGTATTAACTCAAAGTAATTTTTCCTCAGATCCAACATATGTAGTTTTCGTAAGTAACGAAACGCATCCGTTGATAATACAGTCATACGATTACCCATCAAGTATAATTCGACCAAACCATGTAAATTACGAAATGTTTTCCGAGAAATTCGATCCAATTGATTGAAAGACAAATCACAAATTTGCAATTGACTCAAGTCCGAACTAAATTCTTCCAAATCCTTTAAAGTATTGTGAGATATATTTAATAGACGCAAAAGTTTCAGGCCTTGTAAGCGTTCTTTAGGTAAAATCTCCAATTCATTAACACTCATATCTAAAGTTAGAAGATTAACTAAACTTTTGAACGCGCCTGGTGAAATGCGCGTTATACGATTATTAACGAGATGTAAATGCTGTAAAGCTTGAAACGCTTCAAAATCCTTCGAAGTTAGTATCGAAAGATTTGTTTGGCATATATACAATTCCTTCAGATACGGATAACGTTCTTCTTTAACTGTATAGATTTTGTTAATTGGATTTCCGGTTAAGTTTAACCAAGAGAGACGAGGTATTGACACATCCGACAGCGCGGAGCTAGGTATTTGAAGGAATCGATTACTGGATAAGTCCACCTTTTGTAAGTTAATCGAATGACGTAGAAAATTTGCGGGCAATGAAAGCAACATATTGCCGCTGAAATCCACATTATCCAATTGAGTTAAATTGACTGCGTTGAAGCCACTTAGTGAGGTGATTTTGTTATCTTTTAAATTTAATTGCCTCAAGTTAAGCGTGCCACTTAGTTTATAAAAGTCCACTGTCGTGAATTGATTACGTGATAAATCCAAAATTTCCAAGGTGCTCAAATTGTATAACGCAATATGGGGAAATTCCATCAGATTGTTCCGACAAACTCTCAATTCTTTAAATACATTTAGCCCATGAAATAGATTTCGATTCATTAAGCTTAACAAATTATCGCATAAATCCAGTTTTACAAGGTTAGTATTTTTTGAAAATAATTCCTCTGGTAAGGCAGTTAAACTGCAATTAGCCATTGTCAGCTGTTGCAGAGAACGTAATTTATGGAACATATTGGGAGTTATAATGCCTGAAAAATTATTGCTTGATAAATGCAATATCCTTAAGCTGGCCACGTCAAGCTTTTGTATATCACTGGGACTTAGAAAATTCTCACTTAAATCGAGCTCATTGATATTAGGCAAAGACTTAAAGGTATCCACTTCGATACGTTTTAAGGAAGTGTTACGTAAATTTAATTGAATAAGGGAAAGCTCTTGAAGGAACACATCATTCGTTATTTGGCTTATGGGATTATCGGATAAATCCAAAACTTTTAAATTCTTTAGTTTATTAAAAGCAAATCCTTCAATAGCTTCTATAAAGTTTCGTTTTAAAATTAATTCCTCTAAGCTTTCCAAGCTGGAGAAAAAATCTCTACGCATTTGCTTCAAGCGATTAGAACTTAAATCGAGAAATTTTAAATTCTTTAAAGATCCGAAAGTTTCGCGATCTATGTCACGAATTAAATTTTTATTTAAATATAAACGGCCGAGATCGGGTTGATTTGCAAACATGGACTTTTCTATGCGCATCAGCTGATTGTCGCTCAGCCACATAATTTGTATTTTATTTTGATTTTGAAATGTTTTCGTGTGTATCTTATTTAGATAATTGGTCTCCAGTTGTATGGTTAGTAATGAAGAGTTTTTTGGATCGCTTGGAAATATATCCTCGAGTACTGTCAATTGATTGTCCTGTAAATTTATATGCTGTAAATTGATTAAACTTTCAAACGCGCCTGGCTCGATGTCCTCGATATTATTCTTTTGTACGTGTAATTCTTGCAGGGCTGGCAATGGTTCGAAAACGCCTTTACGTATGCGACGTATACGATTGTTGTGCAGCCTTACTTCTCGTAAAAATTCCAGCTTACGAAACATACCTATTTCCAAATCTTGAATCTCGTTATTATCCAATGAGAGGGAGCTAAGCTTTTGGCATTTATCCAAAAGGGTTACAGGCAATAATGGTATAAAATTTGCTCTTAAATATAAATGGTCCAGATTTCCCAAGGTTGTGAATACGTTAGGATCGACATGAGCTATAGCGTTTGACTCTAAATAAATTACTTCAACATTGCTCGAGTTGGTGAAAGCATCAGCCGGTAATTCTAAAATATTATTTTCCGATAGGAATATTTCTCTTAGATGTGGCAAATTCGAGAAAACGCCGCTTATTGAATGTATATGATTATGACTTAGGTCCACGGTTTGCAATCGTTTATTTTTCTCGAATATTTTCGCACTCAGTGTTATGATACGATTATGTGACATATCCAGCGACATTAATTCGCGCAAAGATTTAAATGCTTCAGCTTGAACGACTTCAATATGATTAGCGTAGAAAGATAACGTTTTTAATTGAGGGAAAGCACGAAAGCAATCATCGATAATTTCCGTGAATTGATTTGAACTCAAATCCAGAAAAGTCAACGATGGTAAACGTAGGGCGGCCACAGCTGTAGCATTATTCGTAGCCAGTGTTATATCACCGTAAAATGTTGAAATCTTATTGTTCGATAATCTTAGAATACGCAGATAATCGAGTTTACGCAGCGACAACAGAGGAAATGTACGCAAACTATTTTCAGATAAATCAATTTCTTGCATCGATTCCTCTAAACCAGCGAAGCCATATTCCGGTATGCCTTGCAAGCGATTACCTTTCATATTCAATTTAGACAATCTCAAGCCATAAAAGCTGTAGTCTTCAATTAAGGAAATTTCGTTGTAATCAAAGTCTAGACCATTAAGTTTTTGCATCGAGTTAAGGGCCCGCGACGGCAGCTGCAATATATAATAAATATTAAGAAGATATGATTACAGTGAAAGTGATGAATATAATGAACAAAAAAACATATAAAAAAAGTATAGTGGGTCACGGCTCACCACTTCACTTAATACAACTATTCATATAGTGACTTTTCAAAATTGGTCGTTATATGGGAAGTGGTCGAAAAGTTGGTTCGATTCAAAAGTTTCTCAACAACGTTCGATCTTCGGTCGAAACACGTCAGAGTAGCAAATTTAAAGAAACTATTTCAAAAATTACGTCCTGCTGGTCGAGCACAAGAAAACAAGACAGATTGACCGACCGACGAAACGTTTCTGAATCGATCGGTATAATAAAAGATGGATCTATCTAAAGTCCTTCCAAGTATCGCATACAACTTGATATAAATTTATACCACAACGGGTGCAAGTTATAAAAAATAATACATGCTCAAGCTTGTGAATCATCTGTTCGTAATTTGCTGACTCGCAGAAGAAGGAGAAGAAGATGTTAAAAAATCAAAGCTAATAGGTAGGCCGAAAAAGACACTGTATAACGCCAAGTGTCTAGATTAAAAACTTAAGAAGCCTCTAGGAAAAAAATATGCCTTCGCGGCACCTAATACTTAAGCTGTGCTGCTTTAATCATAAACTGTATCCATAGAGGTAATCTCGCCTCATTATCTTCATTAACTTGGCCATTATTTTGATAATAATCGTCCTTCTATGAGAAAACACAGTGTGAGCACAGAATGTTGAACTGCTTGTAACACCCTCGAACTAGATTTTGAAAATAAATAAAGCCAAACTTTGCAAAAAAAAACTATTATCCGGTTAGTTCCGAAACTTAGCTTTCGTTATATCACGTAGGCAACTAATAGCTGCTTTATATGAGCAGGTTAGGAACACTAATCGGTTCCCTTTTATATTTAAAAAATCTACAAACTCTGCACGTGTATGCTGCAATCTTTGTGTTAAAGGATTGATTCCTCGACAAATAATTATATTATTTTTAGACCTATCAAAACAGCCGCAGTCAACGTATTGACAATCGGACATGTATCACATTTTTTTTTTTTTTTAAACTCCAGCTGTTGCCATCAAACCTATCACGAAGTGCAATGAATCAAGATTGCAACTATTTAAAGGTCATTGGGCCAACTTCTGTAGATCTTACCTGCTTCATAAAATCTACATATATTCTCATTTATTATTTTATTGCATCGATAATCTGTTCACGTGCAAAATTCATAACATAAATATCGAATTGTTTACAGGTCCACTGACAGTAAGTCCTAATGATATGATAATCTGTCGATTATTTAATATTTCAGCAAAAAATTGCAAAGAATAGGAGAAGACATTTATTTAGAGGGAACTTGGTGTTTCTTATATAGTACATACAATCATTTCTTTCTTAACATATACAATCCTTTACTATTTAGCGGCATCTCAACTGTAGATAACTTGAAATTAACTTTTATCGTAATAGACGTATTAACAATTTGCTCGTTACGCTTGGCACATACTAAACTGCAATTGACATATGTCACCTTAACTAGCAAACGTGATCGTTGAAATATGTTTACTTACTTTAAATAGTTTTAGTCTGTGAAAGCAGCAGACTCATCATCATTTTCATTTAGTAGCGATTGAAAATAACGCGTCACCCCTTGTCCTTTATCTAAATCAACACGAGGACATTAGCTTTTATGATAAATTTTTTTTACTACAATTTATTGCTTTTACAGCAGTTCGAAGCTTTAAAAATTTCATATACGTAGAGAGGAACTTTTCCACATTCCATTATGGTTATTACCGTCAACATATATGTATACATAAACGAGGACTGCAGTGCAGCAGCTACCACCACCGTCGTTACGTTTAATAGCTTTATTAAATTTACTTTTCAATTTCTTTACGTTTACTATTACAGAATGGATGGAGGTGGTACACTATTTTTCTCATACTATTCGAAATTGATAAAGTAATCGAGAATCATGTCCAGTCATAATGATCTTTCGAAATGTTCATCTCTCCCGTCATTCGATTCGTCATTATTTTACCAGGCCCCTTACCAGATGCAAAAAAAAAAAAAAAAGGGAAAACATGCCGAATATGCTTTCAATTAATCCGTTTCGATTAATATAAGAAAACAAATACAAACTATGATAAAAATAAATGAAAGAATTCGAATTGTGAAAGACAAAGATAACCGAGTCAATGCGAATATATGTTTTCGTCAGCGGACAGCTGCACCCTAAGTGTGTACTTCACAAATCGGCCTAACGCCGTTTTTTCATCTTAAATCTTTATCATCGTAATGGATAGTAATGGTTCTCTTTTCTAGAAGAGAGATTTCGATTGACTTTGAGAAATCAACTTTTGACCAAAGGAAAGGAATAATAAACGATTTTCAGCCATAATCTACTCTTAGCGGTGAGTACTCAAGATTCGCTTAAAAGTCTTACATGGCTTCCTTATGCAAATTCTTTGTTTTCCATTTCATTTCATTTCATTTTCATGTTTACGAAAAAATTTGTATTTTCTTTTTATTGGCAGATTGCCTTCTACAGGCAAAACTAATAAAGTGCATGCCTGCATTGTTTACATGAACTCAACGGTGAGCAGCGTGGGCTTAACAAACATTTAAACTACGTAGCGGTTATTTTCATTTAAAAATTTTTAAAGCTGAATGCCTTCAGTGTTTCTCAACGCTTTCGGTTACTTAAAATCAATAACTTAATTAACTGAAATTATATAAATTCCGTAATTATTATTGTGCCATGGAATTTTAATTTGTGTGAGCTTTCAGTCTCGGTACTTCTACTTTTTAACGTAAACCCCCTTCGTAATTTTTATGCACACTCAAACCTGTTTTCGTGCGGTCCCTTTTTTACAGCGCATAAAAAAATTTTTTTAATTGTGTTGTGAAAAACTATTTTTTCAAGCTACACTCAAGTATATATGTGGGTATGTTTTTAAGTTTAAAACTTTATTATTATTCATTGATAGCATAACTTTGATAGCAGATGATATAAAAGGTCTGCGCGGATTTTTCGCCACCAGATGGTGTTGATGCCTACATATCGGGCAACGCTCAGCTGTTTGTCTCAAACGAACATGTACGTAAAACGTGACACTTCAGCTTACGTTCCTGGTGTAAAAAGTTACATTCATTTGAAAATGAATGAGATATATGAAGAACCACGCTATGTGATGCTTCTTTACTATACAAAAAATAAAAACGGTGCATACACATGACAAAAATTTTGTAAAAGGTGCAAAGATGAGAATGCTGTGAATGAATGAAGCACCCTGTAGTGGTTTGCTCGATTCCGTTCGGGAAAATTTCGATGTGAAAGATGGACCTCGCTCGGATCGATTAATCACTGAAAAAGTCGATCAAATTTCGCAACTGGTGGAGCACGATAGGCACGAAAGCTGCCAGGAAATTGCAGGAAGCACTAAACATCGACCACATGACACCTTGGTGTCATTTGAAAAGAGCAGGCTACAAAAAATAACCAAAAGAAGACAAAAAAAAAAAAATGGCGGAGACCTTTTATATCATCTATTATAAGTAATCTGCGTTTCCTTTGAACCTTTCGCTAAAATCGTATCATTCAATGTTATTATTGAAATGAATATCATTTACTCAATAAAATGTTATTGGAAAATAAGGCGATAATAGTATAGGTTTCAGTAGCAGAATTCCTAAACCAAATCTCATATCAATTTATCGGACTATTACTTACTATATTTAAATGGATTTTATACAAGTAACTATTGTAAAAGCCATAATGACAATCTTCTCGGTCGTCGATTAAAAATTGTTGATATAATCGTCACACGCGTATCAATGTCATTAGTGAACGTTATACGTAATTGTTATTGTCACTATTCACACAGTACCAAAAGCAATTTTGATAGACAAGTTCAGGTTTTGTTGACGACAATCGATTTTGAGTAGTTGCGTTTATGAGAAACTAAGCTAATCGCACACAAACTTCTCAGATGGTCTTCGCTCACATGTTACTTTGCACAAGATGTGGTTTATTAATACTCTGTGGCATTTATGTTACGTAGTAATGATATTTTAGTTGAACGTTTAAATCCTTACAGATATTATAGATTATTTATTACAAGCGAATCATATTCTGAGTGCATCTGAGAGAGGGAGAGGGAGAGAGCAAAATGAATTTTTTATAAATTCGTCACCGATTTCTAAAAGTGTTTGGACAATTTATTCTTAACGGTTGGCGTGCCGTAAACTCGCTCTATAATTATTTTTGGAAAATCCCGATTATCCTGAATGTTTCCGATTCAGATTTCATTGTTGATTGCTTCTTATAATAGCATTCCACTGCCAAGTGGAATCATATATATAACATGTTGTAAATGTATATCGAAATGGCAGAAAAACTATACATGCTCCTGCGAACAACTGCTACTTCCGTTGCCGTAAAAATTAAGATGACATACACATGTAAGAGGACGATTGACGAATCCGTTTGATTTTTAAGTAAAGCCAACCTTTCAACGAAGTGTGGCAAAATTTTAAGGCAATCCAACCATTAATTTATAAGCTACAATTGTTTTACGGACGCTGCTGCGTTCTAAAAAGCCAAGAACAGCGTATATGTTGGTTTCGTCAATAATTGCGACGTCTACATGGCATCTTATGAACTTATTAAGTAATGTGTTACATTCACATTTCAAAGCTATCAACTGATAGGTTTCAAATTCAAAATTTAAATACGGATGCACAGAATTTCGTACAATATATGATTTAATATACGTATAACAAGAATTATGTACAAATACTTGACGAATAGTTGACGAAATGCTCTGGCATTCTTCGCTGCGTTTGCTCTCATTAGATCGGTATAATATTAAGTAAGTAATTATTGAGTTTTGATGCAAATATTTTGATTTAACTCACAGCGACGAGCAACTTTCGTTACCTTACATTTTTATCCCAAACCGATGAAGTTAATAGGAAATATTTCACT